ATATATATACTTATAGACTGTATGCACAAACTTTTATAAACTACTTTTATAATAGGAATTGATTGCTTCGAGAGTGAGTGTTTGATATATCTCGAATGAATATTAAACAGGTGGTTTTAAATATAGACGTAGTGACAGGAATGACAAAGTTTTGTATCTTTTCTCAAAAAATTATCTCTACACTATTCACGATATTTTATCTTCAAATAAATTTTTGAAACATTTCCAATTCAGTTCGCAATTTAAAAAAAAGAAGAGGAGAAAAATTTCTCATTTCGCATTCTAACGTTAGTCAGTTTTATTCTATATATATATATATATACTATGTACAAAATGGAAAACGTGTAGCGCCAATTTTCTTTTTACAACAAACTTTTCACCGCAAAATAAAGTGGAAGAAAGTATATAGAAAGTATATAGAAAAAAAATAAAGTAAACAATTTTTTAACAAAACTTTTCATCCTCTTTTTTTTCTATTAAAAAATACTTTTTCATTTCAACTTTTAATCATTTTTACATTGCTTCCTTCCTTGAGGTAAAAAAAATTCTCTATTTTAAAAAAAAAAATATTATTTTTCATAACTAATATTTTTCTTTCGATAACATTTTTTTTGTGTATATTTTTGACCTTATTGACTTTGACTTTTTGAAAACAATGTTTTATATAAAATATTTTTATTGTATTTTTTTGTTTTTGTTTGTTTTTTTTGTATTTTTTTCTTTGTATTTTTTTGCTTTTCTTCCAAATGACTTTTTCTCTAGAGAATAAAAATGATGAACTGACGATATACAAATAGATAATATAAACGACTATTGCACTCTCTAAAGGGAAATGTATATAAAAATATTTCTTATCTCCGTTTTTTATGCATCTCAAGTTCGAGAAACGATATCGATTCTTCACATATGCAAATAATTTTTATCTGGCGAGAAAATTCTACGTAAATTATAATTCGTCGCATAATTCTTAGAAGAAATAAAAAAATTTACAAAAAAAAATATTTTTTATTTATATAAAAAAGTGTATTACACTGAAAATTATTTTTTACTCAAAAAATATTTTATATTTAATATTTAATATTTCCAATATTTTATATTGAAAGTATATTTATTTATTCACTTATTTATATTAATATAGAAATTATTTATATAATTTATTTAGTCATTTATTTATAGAATAATTTATTATTTATATTATATCAAAGTGTATTATGCTGTAAAAAATATATTATATTGAAAAAAAATAAATATAAAAAAATATATTGAGAAAAAAATTTTGTTTCACTTTAATTTTACTTAATTTTCTACTACATTTGATTATTATTTATATGCTTTTTGTTTAATATTTACATCGAATTTCTCTATTTACCGCATAGTTATTTATGGTTTATTTTTATGTTTATTTTTTTTAAATCATATTTTTTAATGTAAATATTATATTTAAACTGAAATACGAAAATTATTCGAATAGAATTTACTCAAAAAAAAATTTTTTAAAAATTTGTTTCAATATTTATGTCATTCAATTTAATCTTTTACTTGATTGTTATCAAATAAATATTGTTGTGCATCAAATCATTTTCATTAACATCATATCTTTTTACAATAAATATTATATTTTATTTATATACGAATATTATTGTTATAGATTTTATTTGGATTCAAAATAAAATTTATTACTGTAACGATAAAATATTTATTTACACTGAAAACAAAATTTACTTGATTTAAATAAATAAATAAAATAAATAAAATATTTATTTATACTGACAACAAAATTTACTTGATACAAATAAATGTTTAATTGAAAATAATTTCAATCAAATAATTTCTATATTTGAATCAAATAAATTTTTTTTGAAGTTGAACCAATAATTATTTATTTATTTACATAAACGAGTTTGATTCAAATAAAGTTCCGTCCTCTGGGATCAGGAAAATAAGAAATCTGTGGAAATTGAGTTTGAAAAGGAAGTAATTAAAAAAAAATTGATGGAACAAAATTAATTAAATTTAGTTGTAACAAAAGTTAATAATATAGCTTTTTTAAAAAAAAATGATTTTACAAGTTTTATATTAAACTTTTCTAAGTTAATGAATTTTATAGAAAGTTTGTGATACTTCTAGAAAGAGCTTTCACATTTAATAATTTCTTTAGCAGCTTATTTTAAATTTAAATATACTAAACTTTAATTCAATTAAATAGATTATCTTTAATTCAATAGATAATGATAATTTTTGAATTGCAAAATCAAATGAGCTTTATGAAACTATTAAACAATTATTCCCCACTTAATGTTAGATTCAAGCAAAACTGTATATTTCTATATTTAAAAAGTAGTTTTAATTTTTAATCAGATACTTATTGATTTTCTGTAATAAAATTAATATTTAATTTAATACTGAAGTCAACGATCAAAATTAATAATTCTTTTGTATTTTCTATTGTATATTTATTCTTTATTTCCATTTTATTTACATTTATTTCTATTCTTTTTTATTTATTTCTACCTTTTTCTATTTCTTTCTAATTGTTTCTTTCTATTTCTATTTCTATTTATTTTTATTCTTTTCTATTTGTTACAATTTTTTATTTATTTTTAATCTTTTCTATCTATTCCTATCCTTTTCTATTTATTTCTATCATTTTCTATTTATTTCTATACATTTCTATTTAATACTATTGTTTTCTATTTCATTCAATTTATTTCTATTCTTTTCTATGTATTTCTATATTTTTATATTCCTTTCTATCCTTTTGTATCCTTTTTTATTTATTTCAATCCATTTTCTATTTATTTTTACATTTTTCTTTCTTTTTCTATTTATTTTTATCCTTTTCTATTTATTACTATTTTTCTATTTATTTAAACCATTTTCTATTTTTTCCTACATATTTCTATTCTTTTCTATTTATTTCTGTACTTTTTTATTTATCTCTATCCTTTTTTATTTATTTCTATCCATTTTCTATTTATTTTTACATTTTTTCTTTCTTTTTCTATTTATTTTTATCCTTTTCTATTTATTACTATTTTTCTATTTATTTAAACCATTTTCTATTTTTTCCTACATATTTCTATTCTTTTCTATTTATTTCTATACTTTTTTATTTATCTCTATCCTTTTTTATTTATTTCTATACTTTTTTATTTATCTCTATCCTTTTTTATTTATATCTATCCATTTTCTATTTATTTTTAAAATTTTATTTTTATTTCTATCATTTTCTATTTATTTCTATATTTTTCTATCTATTTCTATCCTTTTTGATACTTTTCTATTTATTACTATTTTTCGACTTATTTATATCTTTTTATATTTATCCCTATCGCTTTCTATTTATTTCTATTCTTTTTTTATTTATTTTACCTTTTTCTATTTCTTTCTAACTTTTTCTTTCTTTTTCTATTTATTTTTATCCTTTTCTATTTATTTCTATACTTTTCTATTTATTGCTATACTTTTCTACTTATTGCTATTTTTCTATTTATTTATACCATTTTCTATTTTTTCCATTTATTTCTATTCTTTTTTATTTCTTTTTATATTTTTCCATTTATTTCCAATCTTTTCTATGTATTCCTATCCTTTTCTATGTCTTCCTATCCTTTTTCTATTTAATCCTATCCTTTTCCATATATTTTTTTTATTTTTTTTTCTATATTTTTCTATTTATTTATAATTATTTGCTATTTTCTTGTTGGACAGTGAAGGCAATAAATTTATAAGTGCAATTCAAAATTTAATATTATTTGTTCTTTTCCGATTTATTTATAATATGCAATTAATTTTATTTCTTTAGGTATATTTATTTCTATTTACTTCTACATTTATTTATATTTATTTATTTTTATTCATTATTTCTTTATTTATTCATTTACATTTGCTTGTATTTATTTATATTCATTTCTATTTATTTGCATTTATTTGTATTTATTTTCTATTTAATTTATATTTTTTTTCTTTTTTGCAATATTTATTATATATATATTTATATTTACATTTATTTGCATTTTTATTGTAACACAGTTTTCTCGAACGTATGAAATTTACATCAAACTGGATCAAAATTGATATGAAAGTTTCAGATCAAATTATGCTTTGATTCACATTTTCAGTATCAATTCATTTTAATCCGACACTTTTAAATAAGCAGTATATTTATTTCTATTTATAACATATTTATTTCAATTTATATCAATTCATTTCCATTTATTTTGTTTATTTCCATTTATTTTATTTACTTTTATTTATTTTTATTTATTTTTATTTATTTTCATTTATTTACAGCTTTTAACATTTGTTCACCATTTATTTAAAAATATTCTATGTATTCATTTACATTTATTTTCTATCTATATTTCTTTTTATTTATTTTTTTACTTCTGTTCATTTCTATTTATTTCTGTTTATTTCTGCATACTTCTATTTACAACTGTTTAATTCCCTTTATTTTCATTTATTTATATATATTTACATTTAATTTATTTCCATTTGTTTCTATTTATTTATATTTATTTATATTTATTTACATTTATTTACATTTATTTATATTTATTTATTTACATGTTTATTCATTTTCAACTTGTTTCCCAAAAACATTTATTTGGATTTAATTTGAAATCTGCTCCAATTTCCATTAATAGAATATAAAAGAAAAGTAAATTTAAAAAAAAAACTGGCTATAAAAGTATATTTTATTTTTAGAATTGAAGGAATAAAATTGAAAAGGTCATCATCGACGATTTAAATAATCATCTAAATGAAAGGTTCGAAAATTGGGTTGTCTCATTCACACGCGGGTAAATATTCACGGGGTGTACTCTTTATAAATATAAAATTAAGCATTGACAGCATTTTACTCTGCTCCACTGATCCATTTTAATTTAACATTAGAGTTTTAGTTTAAGGTTCTAACCTTAGCCTTTTAAATAAATATAAATCTATATCTATTGGCGTCAAAGTGTCTAGCACAACTATATATATATATTACTTACATGGTGCATCAACTGTTTCGATTAGAAACTCCGAATTAACAATTCCACCAAAGACGATGATGATCATCAAAATACGTGAATAATCGATAAATTTCATCGTTTCGTGAAAAATGAAATTAATTTTCTTCATTTCTTCTTCATTTCTTGATTCAACGAATCACAGGATTTTTCGATAAAGAAAGAAGTATTTTTCTTTTTTCAAAAAAAAAAAAAATCCAAGTTTTCCTTTCTTTGGCTAATTAGCGCTTTGTTATTTTTCCCCTTTCCCCACTAATTGTTACACTAATTCACTCGCGTTTCATGTAAACAGCCAAAGCAGAGATCAGCCAATCAATGCTTTAAGCTCCGAAACATTTCCGCGCACGTACAAGTTACACGTCGATCTTGATTAAGGCAAGAGGGAGGGTAGGAGGGAGGGGGGGGGGGGGGGTTTGGTTGGTTATGTTAAACAGAAAACGGTGTTTGTGAGGGTGGAAGGGAGGGAGAGTCAACGATCTATCGACGTATTGGCCTCTGTGATCGTTCACATTGCGCTTAACTTCCGGTTTCACACGAACCACTGAACGGTAAATGCGATTTACACTTGCGTCCTGATTCTCAAACCAATATTAAAAAAAGAAAAAAAATGTTCCAGACACATGAAACTTATATCAGAAAAAAAAATGTTCATATAAAAATTCCTGATAAATTGGAAATTTTTTTCTCGTTCTCTCTCTTTCTGTTTCTCCCTCCCTCTCTCTCCCTCTCTCTCTTTCTCTCTTTCTCTCTTCTTTTGACCCCGCGAGATAAATCCAATTAAAGTGACACAATTTTATCGTAATTGGAAATGCAAATGATTGTCGTTGCAGAGCTTGTTTCAGTTTGAGAATTTTTTTTTTCTATTTTCTATGATTAAATTTTTTTATTATTTTTTATCTTACGAATTTTTTTTTTTTTTTTTTATTCGGTAATTTCATAAAAAATTTTTTTTGTTAATTTTTAGTTATTCTTGTTAAGAAACAAGTGTTATTCTTGTTATTCTTGTTGTTATTCTTGTTATTATTGTTATTGTTGTTGTTATTCTTGTTATTCTTGTTTTTGTTATTTTTCCTTCAATTGTTGTTCAATTTTTGTCCACTTTTGATTATTTTTGTTAATTTTTGGATAATTTTCGTTAATTCTTGTTAATTTCTTTTTTTTTTTGCTGTTTTTTGTTAATTTTTTGTTATTTTTTTTTATTTTTCATGAATTTTTGTTAATCTTTGTTAACATTTTGTCAATTATTTTTCGTTAATTAATTTTTGTCTCTCTTTGATTAATCTTTGTTAAAATTTTAAAATTTTTTTTTCTTTTTTCATTAATTAATTTTTGACACTCTTTTGTTAATTTCTGTTACTTTTTGTTAATTTTTGGTTATTTTATTTATTTTTCATGAATTTTTGTTAATCTTTGTTAACATTTTGTCAATTTTTTTTCGTTAATTAATTTTTGTCACTCTTTGGTTAATCTTTGTTAAAATTTTGTTAATTTTTTTTCATTTTTCATTAATTAATTTTTGTCACTCTTGTATTAATTTCGGTTACTGTTTTGTTAATTATTTGCAAAATTTTGTTAAAGTTACGTTAAAAACGCTTACTCTTGTTACGTTTTTGTTAATTGTTCATTAATTCTCGATTCTTGTATTTTTTCCTCTTCAAAATATTCGAATTTTCAATTTTCAAAATCTTTTTTGCTATTGTTTTATTTTTCTTAATATTTTTTGTTAATTTATTGTTAATTTTCGAAAAATTTTGTTACTCTTTGTCAATTCTTGTTAACCTTTTTTTGCTATTTGTTAATTTTTATTACTTCTTCGTTAATTAATTTTTGTCATTCTTTTGTTAACTTTCCCTCAAACTTTGTTGATTTTCTTTGAAATTTTCTTAAATTTTTGTTACTTTTCCGTTAATTCTTGTTGCTTGTATTTATTTCCTCTGAAGATTATTCGAATTTTCTATAATTTTTGAAGTACTTTATGTTATTGTATTATTTTTCTTTAAATTTTTGGTTGATTTTTACAAAATATTTTTTGAATTATAGTAAATTTTTTGTTAATTTTTGGTAATTTTTTATAATTTTTGTTAAGTTTTGTTAATTTCTGTTAACCCTTGTTAAATTTTTGTTAATCTTTATAAATTTCTCGTTGATTAATGTCTGTCCTTTTATTTATTTTTTGTTGCTTTCGTTAATTTCTATTAATTTTTTGTTGCTTTTTCTTAACTTTTTTTATTTCTGTTAATTTTTGTTGCTTTTTGTTAATTTCTACTAATCTTGGTTGCTTTTTGTTATATTCTGTTAATTTCTGTTAATTTTTGTTGCTTTTTTGTAACTTATGTTAATTTCTTTTAATTTTTGTTCCTTTTTCTAAACTTCTGTTAATTTTTCTTGCTTTTTGTCAACTTTTGTTAATTTCTGTTGATTTTTGTTACTATTTGCTAATGTCCATTAATTTTGGTTAATTCTTCTCAATTTTTGTTGCTTTTCCTAAACTTTTTTTGCTTTTTGTTGATATTTTTAACTGAAGAGCTTACGATTTGAAAGTAAATAAAATTTCCCGATAATTTTTTTTCCTATGTTGACTATCTTTTTACACAAAAGTTCCATTAATAATTTCCTCTTCTAAGAAATTTTGAAATATTCTCACTATCGCAACTGTCACCGTTTTTCCGTCGAGAAATACAGTTTAAAAAAAATTAGTCATTATTTAAAAATATTTTTTTTCACCCGTCTTTTATTTTTCACTCAAAAAATTGTTTATTTATTGAATTTATTTATTATCGAAAATTAATTGCACTCTCAACTTTTTTTTTAATCTCTGGAACATTTATTTATTTCTTTATTTTTCAAGTTCACTCCGAATTTTCTTGTCGAATGTCCGGAAGCACATTTTCCACTAAATGGAAACACTATTTATAACATTTTGACATTACTATTTTCTAATATTCATATTTCAACACTAAATCTTCAAAAACACGAATCTTGAAATATTTGTCCACTTTGAAAATAGTCATTGAACATCAAATTTCCACCACATAAAATTTTTTTTCGTCTTTAATTAATATTTAAATTTTAAACACTTTTCCCCTTTCGGTTAAATATTTACATCTAATTTCCAAAGACTATTTGCAAAAAGAATCCTTTTTTGTCCGTGACGAAAATCTTTTTTTTTTTCTCGGGAGGAAAAATGATAAAAGCTTGAAAAGACAAGATAAATGATGGTGAATTATCGAAAAAAAAATTTCTTGTTTTTTTTCTGTCTTTGGAGATTACTAATAATAATAATGAACTAAGCTTGGAAAAAATTTGAGCGAAAAAAGAGATCGGAGGCGTGAAAGCTCAGAGGGATGAAAAAGCGCGCGCACTGCTGCGTTGCGGCAGGCCTACTGACAGGGGTAGCTGAGCTTTCGGATTGTCCCGTCTTCGATCGGCAATTTCCGTCATTCCTCGGGATGCTTGAAAGCATCCCACGAACGCTATTTCATCCCCTGCGTTGTCTCACTGACTCCATAGCTTTCTATATATATAGTATATATACTTTGCAATACAGGAAACTTGTCAGATAAGCAGTTGAACCCTTTGGGTGATGGAGAATGAGCCAACGATTCAGTCACACCCTGATCAGTATCTTAACGATTTTTAAATTATTCACTGTGGAGTAATTTTTATTCTAAACTATTTATAAACATTTTTTAAATTCTCCCACAATTATTTAATACATTATTTTTTCTAATAAATTATTTTTTGTCAGAGTAAACTATTTATATTACTTATATTTATATTTTTTTGATTATTATTTTTATTCTTTAACTCTATTCGATAATTTCACTTTAATTAATTTTATTTTACTCCATAATTTTAATTAATATTATTTTATTCCCTAATTTTATTTTAATTAATTTTATTTTATTCTCTAATTTAATTTTAATTCTTTTTACATTAGTCTCTATGTTAATTTTAATTTATTTTATTTTATTCTGTAATTTTTATTTGTTTTTGTATTTTTTGTTGCTTTTTATTAAGGTAAAAAAACAAAAAGTACAAAAATTAACAGAATTCTGTTAATTTTGTTGCTTTTTGTTAACTTTTGTCAATTTCTGTTACTGTTTGTTGCTTAAATGATTGTTAAAAGAAAAAAAAATTATAAAATAAAATTAATGAAAATGAAATAAAATAAAATAAAAGAGAATAAAATAAAAATTAAATTATACAATAAAATAAAATTTTTCAATTTAATTGTCGAATAAAAAGAATAATTAAAAATATAAATGAGAATATTTAAATAATAAAGGATAAAAATAAAAAAAAAACTATAAATTTATGGTTAAAATTTGCAGAGATAAGAAATGACAATAAATAAAGTAGTAAAATTAAATAAATAAATATTGCATTTTGTTCGAGAAATGGGTTTTTGTAAATTTAAATTTTAAAAAAAGGAAATACTAATTTTAAACAAAGGAGAATTTCTCTCTAAAATGGTTCGATTAGAAAAACTTTGAACCAGATAGATATTGTTCTTATCTTCTCTCCGCCAAAGTCTATTTATATAAATTGCAGATACCGCGAGAGGTAATTTCATTTTTTTCTTTCTTACCTTAAATTTTCCTTATATTTTCCAAAGCGCTTCTCGTTTTCTCAAAATAGTTACGGAAAATTGTTCTCTCGAAAAGAAATATTGGCTTTCTATTTTAATAAATTGATAGAAAAAAATATATTTATAACATTTATTCTATATTTATGCATATTTATATTTTCTTTTATTTATATATATTTTATTTTTTGTTCATTTCTATTTTTAATTATAATTATATTTATTCATTTTATTTATTCTTATTTATTTGTTTATTTATTCGAATATGTATTTTTATCTATCTATATTTGTTTTATTCATTTTTTATTCATAATTAAATTTTCCTTATTCCAAAGCTTCTCGTCTTCCCAAAATAGTTATACGAAAAATTTTTATTTATTTATTTTCAAGAAGAAAGAAATAAACTTATCAATATTTTTAATTTTACGCGAAAAATTTTAACTATTTTTAGAAAAAAAAAATTATAATAAGAATTATTTTTGAAATTTATGAAAATGGAAATTTAATTAATTGAACATAATTAAATCGAGGAAAATTTAAATGAGAGGAAGTTGTTTAACGAGAAAGCTTACATAGGAAAGTTATACTCGAAAAGAGAGAGAGAGAGAGAGAGAGAATTAACAAAAATTTAAATTAATTTCTAATTTAACTTGAAAAGATAAACTAGATTTTAATTTTCGAGAAAAAAATATAGAAATCGAATCATTGTGAACAGAATAAAATTTTGAAGAAGAAAAAAAAGAAAACAAGTGAAAGTAAGAGGCAATTTTTTATTTGAAATTAAAATTGCAGTGCAAGGGGTTAAAATTTATTTTCGGAGGGGTGCGTCAGTCGCGTGCCGTACCAAGTAGTAAATGTCGGCTTTAGTCAGACAGACTCGTCAACCCTTTTCACTTCAACGACCACTTCCTTAACGTTGAATCTAAAAAAAAATGACCTACATTATATATTTTTTTTCTCTACATTTTTTTTTTCTAAAAACTTTACACACACTCACACTAGTTGAAAAATATAAATTTTAATAAACATATGCGAAAATTTAAAGTGGCAAATTTTTAAAAAGAAATTTAAAAATGACATATAAATTTCAAAAGCAAATTTTCCTTTTTATAGAGGGAGCGAAAAATTTACTTACCTTCATAATTTAGAAGAGGGGAATTTTACTTTTATTTTCATAATTCAGATGAGAAGGGAAATTTTCAAAATATATTAAATATTAAAAAAAAAATACAAAGCATAAACAAAATTACAAAATAGAAATTAAAAAAGTACAGAAAAAATTTTTAAAATATGAAAAAAATAAAAAAATCCAGATGGAAAATTTAAAAAATGAAAGGT